ATAGAAGATATTAATCGAGCTCTTTAGGGGTAACTTACGAGTCCCTCACGAATAACTTGTTGGAACCCGGATTTCAATATACAATACGGGTTCCAGCAACAAGGCTACGTTGGAAAAATACAAGTCGGCGGAGAGGAAAAAACTAAACTGAAACTGACCTTTCACAAATTTTGTGTGTGCTTATATAATTTTAGTTTTTGGTGGGGTGAAGATGACCATTGGCCCTTAGTAAAAGTAGGAATGATTGTTTTTGGACTCTGAAATTGGTCTGGGTTTATCAGCCAGGCCCTTCTAGTGACTAAGGGCCAACGAATCGTTAGTCATCCAACAAACTCTTCCAATCCTACATCCTTCGTCACCTGACTGGTCGATGAACAAAGCGCAATGTACTCTTCAAACGCCCACGTCTGTAAACACAGAAAACATAAAAGGTGTTGCAACGTTTCGACGAAGTTAAATTACATTAAATTACATTGAAACGTTTCATGTCCCGCTCAATCAATTTCCATTCCCCGATCATTTATCATAATTATTATCACGTCGCTGGCTACTTGCCCTCTTGCGTAAATATAACATACACGAATTTTCAGCACCGACGAGCCCCGTCCGCGTATTTCGTTAGTCAATAACGAACATAACCTCGCCGTCATAGACACAAGCTCGATCGTCAGTCTCAAGCATTGATCACTGCTACTGCCAGACACGCTGCCCACCCATGAAGACCTACACCACGTTTCCGAAGAAATCGCTGATAGATCGAATGTCACGTGTGCACCCATTACTTTCCGTCTAACCACATGCAAGTTTTTCGAGCGTTATGGAGCCCATATAGTTAGGTTAGGTAGGAAAGGGAAAAATATTTTTATGTCGCGCGTGTGCAACGCCTTTTACGTACACGCGTTACGTATGCACACGCGTGTATTCCGTTTTACACGTGACGTTGGTTGATCTCGGAGAGCCGGCGGCACGTTGGTAGAAGGGTAAATAAGGCCGCTGATTCGCCCAAGGGGGTCTAACTCTCGGGATGGTGCAATTCTGCCCTGAAGGCTCCGACAACCTACTCGGGACCGCTGACTCGCCTCGAATCTCCGATCGACTAATGTGACTCTTGTTCTGTCTCTTTTGATACTTTACTTTCCGACAGCCTGCACGTTGCAGATACGGGTATTTATAATCCTGTGTACCAAGCGTTCACGCTTTGTCCTATGTTTCTTTGTCCTTAGCTCCTTTCAATGTTCCTTTGGTATCATTGGGTCTTGTACTCTGCTTCGTTATCCGATTTTTTGTTTGCTCGTGTGATTTGTTTTCTCAGGTTTTCTCCACATTTCGTCCTCTTTGTATGATATTCAGAATTTTTTGTTTCTTTGAATTTTCATCGTTTTTGGTTTTCTATTCTTGGATATATGATTTTGCCTGGTTTTCTGTTTTTGGATATACGATTTTGCCTGGTTTTGGTAGTTTCTTCAAATTTCATGTTTATTTGGTTTTTTATTTTGATCTTTCCTTTTTTTTGATATTTGGATTCTTGGATATTTTTATATATGGTCTTCTTCTTTTTATGCTCTTATTTTGTTTATTCTTAAATTTTTTTAGATTGTTGAATTTTTTCTTCGATTACGTATAATCTTTTCTTTAATTTTCACTTTTTCGGTTCTCTTCGCGGTTTTCTTCTTTATATAATCTTCTCCTGTGTCTTTAATTTTTTGATATTCTCTTTATCTGATTTTTGCTTCGAATGACATCTTGTTTAGATGAATGTGATCAGTTTTGTCCTTTTTCTTTAATTTTTATTCTTTCGATATGCCTGGAGAATATATTGGGCCTGGTAAATTCCTTCAGATTCTTCGAATTTTGTTTAACGCGGCCTTTTCTTTGGCTGACCTTCTTTAGGGATGGATGAACGAAATCTTTCTATTTGTTTTCGACCTTATTCGATTTTGGACGTTTAATTTAACATGGCAAGAAGGGAATGTCGTGTGTATACATTTATAGTTATCGCAGTTCACACGTGAATAGAATGTGGAATTAGTATAGTGAGTCACGATGATTAGAAGAGGTAAAGTAGGAATTTTCGATGTGTAGTAGATGGAAAAAGTACACACTCGTGTTTTACCATTTGAAAGTTTGACTAGGTTTTAGATTTTTCTATCTACACTTCTAGGAATTCGAATTTAAATTTTATTTTTTCATTGCAAACGAATTACATTTTTTTTCTTAATTTAATATATTGAAACCTAACCTATTTAATACATGTATGTAAAACAATTGTCTAGATAAACTGGTAACATAATAATTATAATTCTTCTAATTGTTTAAAAGTATTTGAAATTACATAATTTATTAGAAAATTAATTATATCATAAAGTGTTTTGCTTAAAATATATTTTATAAACATTTTGCTAACATTAAACATTTTTTAATTAATATCTTCATTTAGTAACCAAATTAGAGTAGAATTCAAGTAGAATAAAGAATTACTTTTTGTATTTTTTTATAATATGCTAGTTATAAATAATTTTGGATGAAATTTGATTGATGAAATTTAAATTAACTGTTTTTGAAGTAAAAGAATTATTGCTTTACCTTCATTGATTCGTAGCTTTAAAATTATTTCCATATTCCTCAATATTATTTCCTAATATAAACTTCCTTATTGACTAAAAATAAAATATTTAAATAAAACATTTGCCATTAAAAAATTCTCGGAATTCATTATAATATGTCATAGCCTTGGATTAAATATTCCATAAAAATATTAGTAACTTAATTACACATCTCTGTCAACATGTATAAAACCTTACTTAAATATTATAATCTGCATTACACGAGCGGTATAAAAACCATTCGCAAATGAAGCTTAAAAAGACTGTTGTACGATGCTGGAACGAATAAAAATTTTAGACGTAATTTATAAAAACAAAATACGATACATCAATCTTTTATCGAGGAACCAAGTTCCAAAAATATATTCAAATTCGCGTAGTTTATAAATTCCCGTTCATGGTTACCGATATGAATCGAAGTATCGTGCATAAATTTAAATAAACGATTTTAATATGCAATTCGGTCATCGTTTGTTGCCCAGGCATGACGCATTCGGTAATAAGAAGGGTCCAAAAGGTAAAGAAACCGAAACAAGAGAGGAGAAAAAGAAAGGGACAAAAATCGTCGGTGATAATTCGAATGCAAATCATACGTTTCCCGCCCTGCATTATGCGCCATCTGTCGCGAGCAAAGAATTGTCAAAGAGGGCACGAACGTTGCGCAAGCGCACCGCGAAGCATAGAACGAAGGATAATCGTCGAGAACGATTCTACTGCGAGAGAATCTTCGCTCGGCCTCGTGTGTTTGTTCGAAGTTTTACGAGTCGTGTAATTAGTCACACGACTCGAGTCGCGTGGTAAATACCCGAAACGAAATGGTAAAATTCGGATTGGTTCTGCTCAATACCGAATCGTCATTGACGACAAATGCGAAGAAAAACGCCACTGATTAACCTTCCATCGCGACGATGCGCGTGCGAGGTGCGCACAGGAAAAAGTACGTAACGCTTCGTGATTAATGTCCTATGCCGAAATCGCTTCGATGTTACCGGTAAATTTGCATGCTTCTACGAACACCATTTAATCACGTTAACGCTATTTCCTTTGGTTTGATACAGGTTTGATGTATTTTTGGACATCTCGAAGTTGTAACGAGAATTTTTGGACATCTCAAAGTTGTAATGAAAATTTTTGGACACATTGAAATCGTAATGAGAACTGTCGAACATCTTGAGAGCGTAATGAGAACTTTTGGACAACTTGAAATCGTAATGAGAACTTTTGAATATCTTGAAACCGTAATGAGGACTGCCTCGTTCTTTAATGAACAGCTCCTCTTTAATGAGAACTGTCTCGTTCTTTAACGAGCAGCTCGTCTTTAATGAGAACTGTGCTTTAAGAATGAATCGCGTGTATTTTAATTTCCTAACCTTAAAGGCGATGACACTTATACACGAATGTTTTCAGGAAATAAAACTCGATAGAAGTTTTTAAAGTTCTTAATTGAAGAATCATAAACGGATCATGTTTAATGGAAATTATGATTTGAGAATGAATCACGACTATCTTAAATTTTTATTTTTAAAGGAAAGGAAGTAAAAATTTGTCACGTGTCTGGAATAATATTAATTGAGTTGTAAGATACACACAGTCACGTGTCACTGTAAAGAATTAAGTTTTTAAAAATTATCAAGAGTCATTATTAGGTAATTTAACAACCTTTCTGTTCGTTTAAAATTAGATATCGAAGATTTGATATCTTCGTATATTTTATACTTAATTTATAATTCATTCGCAATTACATATACATTGTTGCAAAGATAAAAAATCGGTAAACGCATAATCATATATGAAGAAGGTATAATTATTGTTTCTCATTGCTGTTGATAAGGTATTCTACCTAGCAAAAATTAAATTGAAAATGGAATTATCAGATTCAAATAATTACTGCAATCCATAATTACTTGAATAATTACGATTATTATAATTCGCAGTTACTGAAATACCGTGCGATTATTTAAGGAATAATTGAAATAGCAAATCGAATAATTAGTATCATTAGAAATTCAAGAAATTTTTATTACAATTATTACTTCCTACATTTCTAAAGCAAAAAGAAATAAAAGTGCACTTTTTCCTTTCCGCTTAGAAAGCAGAATTCTGATTACAGAGGGCTAAATAAATAGAAAATGGAATTATTATCAGATTTAAATAATTAATGCAATTCACAATTACATAAATAATTATTATAATTCACAGTTACTGAAATAACGTGCGATTATTTAAGAAATAATTGAAATAGCAAATCGAATAATTAGTATCGTTGGAAATTCAAGAAATTTTTATTACAATTATTACTTCCTACATTTCTAAAGTAAAAAGAAATAAAAGAAGAAGCTGTAATCAATTATAACTTTTTATTCTCCGCTAAGAAAGCAGAATTCTGATTACAGAGGGCTAAATAAATACACCGATGGAGAAAAAGACCCGAAGGTATTTCTTTCATATTTCACTCGAGCCGTTCCTTCCATTCACCGCTCCTTGTGCCGATTGCGCCCAGCACGGTGAAAAAGAAAATAGCGTTATTCGCCGGAGTAAAACAGAAATGTTTACACACTGTCACGTCAGGCGAAACAAAAAGGGACGCATAACGCGTAACACCTGCAACAACTAACCCAGGTAACGTCATCGCCCGTGCAGCACGGTGCATCAGATAAGCGATATTTCGCTTGCGTAATCCGAGACGCGTATACTCCCCGGAGCAGCGGACGATTAACACGAGCCATCATTTGTCACGTTTTAGATGCCTCGTGTATTGTTCACCGGATGGGGCACCACGCGATACATGGTGCACGCTGTGAGAACACGCCGATAATCTTTTGAACCTTTTCTTCATTTTTATTTTTAATTCATTTCTCACTCTTCGTTCCTTCTTTCAGATCTCTTGTTTCTTATTTTGGATTTCTCAACTTCTGCCTTGTTTCTTCTTATTCTAACACTATGCCTACCATGATCAGTCACATAATCAATAAATGGAAAAATGACAGAAGAGAAACTTCGGAGAAAATGGAATAAATTAAGATATTGGAAATTTAATAATACCTATGACAAAGGAAAAATTGGGAAGTAAAATGAGCAGATAGATAACGTCGTATGCAGAATTTTCAATTAAATATCGAAAAATGGTTATTTAGGTTATGGTAGGTTTAGTGTTAACACGTTGACTGCCATGTAACGTTTCACGATTCCAGTCTAAGAAACCAATTTGATTTAATCATGTTATATTATTAAAAACTTTATTTATAGTACATAGTAATAGTCAAATTTGTCGTTAATTTTTTACAATTTTTACAATAAGCCGAACCTGATATTTTCTTCTCTTTCCTGATGCCATCTATTCATATTTACACTGTTATACTACAGGCTTCCTCGTAGCTGTGCAAATATGGCAAGTAATGAAGTGACGAGATAACTCGTAGTAGGCATTCTAGGCAAGTAAACAACCTACGAGATATCTCGTAGTTGGCAGTCAACGTGTTAAATAAAATATAAAATCATTTTGATAATAATTTGAAGGTGCTTGTATGCATCTATGTGTGTAATTAGGCAAAATTGGTAATAGGTTATGGTCACGCATGGAAAGTAAATTAATAAGCATCCAAAGTAAGAAAGGAAGGCAAGAAAGGATAGGTTAATTGAGGTTCAAGCAACGAACTCCAGTGAAACGTAGAAATTTAATGAACATCGTTGAAAATAGTAATTTCACGTGGGACTCGTTGGGTGTTGCGAGCCCACCCGAATTTTGTAATCTTATGTTGTTATTACAGGATAGCGTATATATTATATAGTATGTAACTATAGAATTTATATTGAAATAGTGATTATATGAATTCTTCATACCACAGTTTCGATTTCGTTTAGTACATATAATACATCATATAAAATCAGTGATAATCAACTGTAAATATTATTAAGTATATTAAATAATAATTGCACTAAATAATACAACTGGCAATTAAGCATGAAAGTGAAATAATCAAAAGTGAAAAAATTAACGCGAGAATAATGTGAAAGAAAATTAGCAAGCCAAGTCATTTCATTAAATTTAAAACTGTAATTAAGAGAGTAATAACAACGTGTCTTCGTGAAACAAGATATAACTAATTATCTCACATGCTGGAACATACAATACGACTTTTCAGAGAGTTTAAATTATTATTGCGCAATCATTTAAGACAAAGTAAATACAGAGCATAAAGGAAAGAAATAACGTTATAGAAATGTACAACTTCTCGCTTCACGACGAAAGCATTATGAAAAGAAAAAATTCTTGAAAAGAAATAATTATTAAAAAAAAGAAATGAAAAATTTTATTAAATAATATACGTGATACAAAACAGTATATAAATACCATAATATACAGTACTTTTTAGTATTATTTTTATAGATGTATAATTTAAGAAAAGTGTAATGTGTACAAATGTTCATTTTCTTTCTTATTGTTTAACATGTATAATTAACAATAGCCTGGTTTTAGATAATATGATTTTGCTATTTAAAAAATTATTTAAATCTCCTCTAATGTTTGAAAATAAAAATAATACTAAATGCTATAGTACTTAAGAAATATTTTTGAATTTTTATGTATTTGAAAATACAATAGATAAAAATAATTTGAAATGTTCAAATGAAAGAAACTAAACTCGAGTGTCTGAAGTGAAAAACAAAATCAAAATCAAATACAAAAAGAAGCAAAAAAAAGTCCAAAACCTTTTCACAGATAAATATAAAATCGTAAAGCAAATGAACTAACAGTTTCTCAAAATTCTTCTTGTTAAAATATTAGAATATTCAATTAACGAGAAACTAATGAAACTAACCTCAAAACTTACGAATGAAAAATTGAAATCAAATACTTATCGAAACAACGACAACAACAGGGAAAAGAAAATGTAAAACGTTTTCATAAATGATGAAAAATGATAAAAAATTTCCAAAACAAATAGACTTCTCAAAATTCCAGCAATTTATGTACATTCGAAATACTAGAATTTTCAATTAACCGAAAACAAAAGAAACTAACCTCAAAACCTGCAAATGTATCATCGAAATCGAGTATATATCGAAATAACAACAACAACAGGAAAAAGAAAATTTGGAAGTAATTTAAAATTTAGAAATAGAAATAGCTAAAAAAATTCCAAAACAAATAGACTTATCAAAATTCCAGCGATTTACAGACACTCGAAATACTAGAATTTTCAATTAACCAAAAACTAGAGAAACTAACCTCAAAACTTACGAATGAAAAATCGAAATCGAATACTTGTCGAAACAACGCGGCAACAGGAAAAAGAAGATTTAAAACATTTCTAAAAATAGACAAAAAAATTCCAAAACAAACAAGATAACGATTTACCGAAATTTTAGCGGCCTATGCGCTCTCGAGTTTTTCACGGCGAGTGTTACTCACGTGATAAATCGTTTACCACCTCGCATTTATCTGATTTCATTGAATGGACAAAAGTAATCGTGTTCTCGGCTCGTCTCATAAGAATCGTGTAGCTGGAATACCCCATGGTGGGGTACAGAAAGAAAGTGTGGGGACTCCATTCACCTTACCAAAGCGTCATGCCAGCCGAGGTCTCACGAACAGAGACTTGCTTCCATTACTCTCACTATCGTTCGTTCATTCGTACGCGATGCTTCTTTCTTCTCTTTTCTCCTTTCCTTCTCGTTCGATTAGCAAATTGAGAATTAATTTGTTGGCCCGATAAGCCAGCACGTGCAAATTATTCATCGTTGAAATCGAAAGCGATCAGACAAGGTCTCCGAGTTGTACGATCGATTTGATCTTCCTCGTCTCTAGACCTGCACAAATTGTATAATTTTACCGATTTCCTAAAACTGTTATGGGAAAGTTTATTGTAGAAATACAAATCGTATTAATACAAATATTCGATAAATAATATAGCTGCAGAAAATGGAAGAGGAAAGTCCCTAGATAGCTTCTACAAATCGGAAGTGTATATCAGCTAGTATTTATGGCGACCATTGTTCCCACCCTCGCCGATAGATGGATCCAGCTTCGAGGAGGTTTGATGATTTTCTCGTAAGTGCCGGTGAACCTCTGCTTCCTTTATATACAACTTTCCAGACCTTCCAATAGTATCTGTGTCTAAAACAGCGCCTGCTAGATAGCTTTTGTGATGATAGCCTTAGATAGACTTTAGATAGCCTTTACTTATACCAGGCTCAGGACGATATGTTTCTCTCGATTTTGTATTAAGAAGGAGATCTGCGATAATTAGTGGACCCGGGACATACACCCGGAGGTGCGACAATCTCCCCTCATCATCTAAGGCACGGAACCTACTATAGGTAGCTTTATTTGAAGAGTCTTTCAGTAACAGTCCCAGGACGAGAAAAATGCTCATACTGTGGAGACCTACCCATCGTTCTTGCCTTCGCCAATAGATGAGGATTCCAGCTTCGAGAAGGTTTTGAGGATTTTCTCACAAGTTCTTCTAATAGTATCCTCGTCTAAAGCACGAGCCTTGCTAGGTAGCCTTATTTGTGAATAATCCTTCACTAGCAGACCCAGGACAAAAATGTTCATACTGTGTCGAGCATGGTTCTCACCCTCGCCAATAGATGGATTCCAGGTTCGAGGAGATTCGAGAATTTTCTCGCAAGAATTTTCTAGATATGCACCTTCCTGAAATAGTATCCCCGTCTAAAGGTGATCCTGTTTAGATAGCCATGTTGATTGAGTTCACTTTCAATTAGACATTAGACAATTAGTTACAACCCTGGACGAAACGCATCCCTTTTCATTCCTTTCGTCCCTTCCACTGTATACCACTGCAACAGGAGGGTACCTGCCTAACCAACTAACGGCAGCAACTGTGAGGGGAACCCCCACAGTAGTAATTCAAAGAGTGCCTTGGCTAGATCGTTTATGATCGTGATGGGATTATTATAATAGCGTTCTATGATGTTCCACGCGATTGATGAAATAGCTGATGAGTTAGGGACTCGATTTTTTCTGTAGCACCACCGTAAGACAGGATATCTGAGCACACCTTCGAAGGACCCCAATTATTATAGTGTTGTGTCCAATTAATTGCATCTTTGCAATTGTTATGAACGCATCACATGCCAACTTAATATTGTGTTAATAGTTTTATATTTTTACGGATCGCGAGTGTATAAAGCAGTATAACAATTAAATATGAAACGTTAGAAGGGTACCATTTCAGACACTTGTTTTACGATATTTACAAGAAGATGTTTAGACGATGGGTATCGAATGGCCATCGAGTTCTTATATTTTTAAAAATTCACAACGGTTCAGAGTTGACATGACAAGGACGGAGTCGAAAACATACTTTTACATGATTGGTTTAAAATTTAGGAGAAATCTACTTTAGTGGGAGGCAATAGTGTCATTTCAAATTGCATTTACTCGAAGAGGAACAGAAGGCAAGGGGTTTATAGTTCCCGTACCCTTACGTTACTATGTGCATTACAAATTACAAAATTGAGTATTCTCGTGCAATAATGGCAGTATAACACTGCAAAGAATGAAACTTCTGCAATCCTTATTGGAATTATCTATAGGAATTTAAAATAACAAAATCTTTAGAATCTTCGAAACTAATTGTAAGAGTATTAAAATAAGAATTTAATCCTAAATTAATTAGGTTTAATCCTAAACCTAAATCTACTACTAAATATTAAATACTAAATCTACGAAAATGTCATGTTATAAATAACATAATATATATAAATATATAAAACATGTAGAAAAGCTCGTTACAAAAATGAAAATATTAATAAAAATATTTAGTAAATAGTTGGCATATAATATATATATAGAATTTATTATACATATTTTATTAGTTGGTAATTATAAATATAATTACGAAATATTTAATACTATAAATACTTAATAATTATATGGAATAAAATTATGACAAATGAAGAAGGAAGATCCTTAGATAGGTCAGGTATATT